GAAAACGACAGAAGAAGCGATCGAAGTGTGTATTTCAGTCGAAGGCCACGCCTCCACATCTGTCAACCAGTTGATCGGGGAACCAGTTAATCCAGAACACCGGCAGGCTGAACGCAGGTGGAAGAAGGACAAGCTTCATGTAACTCGTGACATTTTGAAAGAGAGTTGGAGAAAGTATCAGAGCACTGTAAAAGCTGAAAAGATGAGTTACTTTTCTGATATTATTTCTAGTAATTTAAACAAACCTCGTGTTCTCTTTAAAATAATCGATGCTATGTTAAACTCTCCTTTATCCACTTGTATTGATGCTTCAACTGAGATGTGTGAAAAATTCCTCTGCTATTTTATAGACAAGATCTCCACTATTAGAGCCAGTATCTCACCACCCTCTTTTGACCCCTCCATTGACTTCACATGCACTGCTGTCTTCCAGCAGTTTGGACCTGTGTCGTTGTCATCTCTCAGTGACATTGTTGCTAAATTAAAACCCTCATCTTGTCCCACAGACCCAGTCCCTCCTCGACTTTTTAAAGAGGTATGGGACACTATTGGACCTAATGTCCATAACATTATAAATAGCAGCCTAGAGTCCGGTTCTGTGCCAGTTTATTTCAAACAAGTGGTTGTGGCACCCCTGATAAAGAAAACTAATCTGGACACTTCTGTCTTCTCAAATTACAGACCCATCTCGAAGCTTCCTTTTATTTCAAAGATATTGGAGAAAACCGTACTCTTACAGCTGCAGTCTTTTATACATGCACACAATATTTTCGATATTTTTCAATCCGGTTTTAAAGCGCTTCACAGTACTGAGTCTGCCCTTCTAAGAGTATTCAATGACCTCCTGGTCACTACAGACCCTGGTGACTCTGCCATCCTTATGCTCTTAGACCTCACAGCTGCTTTTGATACGATTAACCACTCCATCCTTATCTCTCGTCTAGAGCACTGTGTGGGTATCAGGGGCGCTGCCTTAGGCTGCAGCCACACGAGGACAAAAACGGCCGTTTGCGTTACTGTTTAGTGTCATATAGACCATTCGGCCACACGAGGACGACCGCATACGGCACTAAACGACTGAGGATACGATAACGGGTCCCAAGGTGGATAGAACGGCATACGCAACGCCAGGGTCGGCTCCAGAACAAATCGAATGGGGGGGAAATCATTTACCATGGGGGGGCACACACTGCCGTCAACAACCAACACACAAACACCAACGCAACTTCAATTTAAAAAAACATGCTGTAAAGTGTATTTCACACACATTGCAGGGGTGTAGTGCTATTGTATAGCGTACTATAACTTGTGCATACATGCACGGTTGTGGCACGACCACCAAAACAGAAACATATGGACATAGGCCACCATATAAAAGTGTGCAAATGTATTTAGTATCCTATCCATGTGAACATGTTTTAGGTGGGGGGGGACCTAACCTCCTCTAGGAGGGTCCGTGCGGCAAGCTCCCCCGGGAAGATTATTTTTAAAATATTGAAGTTAAAAGCATCAATCTGGTGCACTTTGAGAGCAAAATGAAGAGATCTATGGATAGCCTATCTCTCAGCATCCATATGAAACAGAACTGTAAACAGATTAACTTTTTCTTTATGGATATTTTACTAATCACTCCCCTTTTAAACTGTATTCTTGTGTTACTGTCCTATAGTATTTCATACCCGTTTTTCATTTATTCTCTTATTCTTTAATAACTATAATGATCATATAAAGGTATTCCTCGCAAATACTTGTTTACATAAATGGTAACCAAACCGTTTGAGACCCACTGAGATAACTTACACTAAAGTTAACTATCTAAACACTGAGAGAGTCCTTACCTCACTGAGCTGAGGTTATAAGATCCTCTCAGTCTGACAGGAGAGGACTCTCCTCCACCTTGGTGTAGAAACAGCTCTTTATATCCGTTAGCATAGCTAGCTAACCAGATGCTAACAACAACATTCCACGTTACCACTCCCGCACTCACAAAATCCGCTCGTGCCACACACACACAGAGCCGAGCATGAATGAAACACAGAGACCCAGAAGTAGGCTACTTCTACTGTACTGTATATCATATTATTTTCGATGGCTTTACTGTAATCAGTGTAACAGATGAACAGATCGCCACTGGGCTTTCATCTAAACACACAGCCACGTAATGATAACAAAACAAAGGTCGGGGGTCATTGGTCAAGCAACACACCAATCAGAGAGCAGCAGTGAGCACACCTCAGGCTGTGTTTTATATTTGTATTCTTTATTTCTGATGTATTTCACACAAAAAACCTTTAGTGGAAACGTTTTCACTGATATGATTAAAAATAAAAAATAAACTGCAAAGTGGCAAGGCTTGCCCACCCTGCGTTGGGGGGGCACAGTGACTCATTTGGGGGGGCATGGCCCGCGAATGACCCCCCATCACGCCGACCCTGCGCAACGCTCTGGGGGGTCAAACAGCTCGGTGTGTACGCCTTATACGATAATTTGCTGATAATGATTGCGCAATAGCCCCGCCTCTCCCCACCTCTGCTGCTCACCTCGGCGTACCCCGCGCCATTGCTGATGTGTTTCGCCACCAACAACAACAACAATGGCGGATCGCAGAGTTGCTATCGTGCTCCGGACGCTACTGACCATGCTACAGTTCTTTGTGCAACATCTACAGCAGACTTACACATCCAGGGGGGATCTTACTCGCTGCTTTTGTGGATATGTACTGCAGCTTCAGCGATCATTTTCTGATAATGATTGCGCAATACCCCCGCCTCTCCCCACCTCTGCTGCTCACCCCCGCGTCAAAGTAAACTGCACACTGAATTCAGATTATTTATCTTTCTCTCGATATGGACATAAACGCGAGTGAAGTCTAATCTGACAGGACGGAGACACCTCTCAAACTACCTAAACTAGTTATAAATATGTTTATTTTTACTGTCGGCCGGGTCACTCATTACTGGATCAGCTGCTGCATGAGACAGACACTGGCGCTGTCCAAAGAGAGGGAGGAAAAGGAGAGGCTCCGTGTATTTATATTATTATATTATATAGAGTCGTTATTCATTTGTTTTAAAGCTCAATAAATAACAAAGAAGACCTTTGACCGGCACTTTTATAATTTTGTCGGAAGGTTTCAACTTTAATACACGTTGACTGGAGAAAAACTCTGCCCGGTTCCCTCGGCCCCCACCGCGGAGAATAAACAGAAGGGCAACCATGCTTCTTCGCTGCTTTTGTGGAGGAAGTTACAGCGCCACGTACAGGCTGGGCATATGTACTGCAGCTTCTCCAGCGGTTGGAGCTAAACGGAGCGGTCTCGTGTGGGCAGACACTATCCGGATAACTATTGCGTGTGGACGGAAGCTTGTTTGCGATTGCGTTTGCGTTAATCCTATGCGTTTAGCCGTTTTCGTCCTCGTGTGGCCGGGGTCTTAGAGTGGTTCAGGTCCTATCTGTCCAAGAGATCTTTCTCTGTTACGCTTGGTGACTTTACATCCTCTTCTGCCCCCTTATCCTGTGGAGTTCCCCAAGGTTCTATTTTGGGGCCTATTTTATTTTCCTTATACCTTCTCCCCCTTGGACTGATTTTTAGAAAATATGGCGTCTCTTACCACCTTTATGCGGACGACTCCCAATGATATCTACCCCTAAGAAAAAACACTAGCTCTCTGATGCCCCTGGTTGACTGTCTTAATGACATAAAGGCCTGGATGACGCTAAACTTTTTAAATATAAATGAGAGCAAAACGGAGGTAATTGTGTTTGGACCAAATGGTGATGTCCCTTCCATTGACCTGGGTTCCCTGCAACAGTTTGCAAAACCCATAGTCACAAATCTGGGTGTCAAAATCGACAGTGCTTTTAAATTAGATAAATAGATAAACTCTGTGGTTAAATCCAGTTTTTTTTATCACTTGAGGCTCCTGTCCAAAATTAAACCGGTTTTATCCTTTTTAAACTTTGAGCGTGTAATTCATGCCTTTGTTTCAACTCATTTAGATTATTGTAATGCACTTAATGCCGGCCTAAATAAGACTTCGCTGGCCCGCCTGCAGCTTGTACAAAACGCGGCGGCGCGGCTGCTTACAGGAACACGCAAGTTTGACCACATTACACCAGTTCTGGCTTCGCTCCACTGGCTTCCTGTCCATTTTAAGATTTTATTGTTTGTTTTTAAATCTCTTAATGGGCTGGCCCCAGAGTACATCTCCGACCTCTTACAGGTGTACACCCCTCAAGGGCTTTGAGGTCGGCTGATCAGCTGCTGCTTGTAGTCCCAAAAACAAAACAAAAGACCAGGGGAGACCGAGCGTTCTCATCGGTAGCCCCCAGGCTCTGGAACGACCTGCCCCCTCAGGTTAAATTGTCGCCCACTCTTGAAGTTTTTAAGTCCCGCCTAAAAACCCACCTCTTTTCCTTCGCTTACCAGTCAGTCTGAGCTATGTCTTACCTATTTGTATGCTTTTACTGTCTGTCCATATCCTTTATGTGCCTTGTATTTATTCTTATGTGTGCTTTTTATCTATTCGTGTAATATTATATTTTATTATAATGTTATGTTCATTGTGAAGCACTTTGGCAAACCCTCTGTTTTTAAACTGTGCTATATAAATAAAGTGGATTGGATTGGATTAAATCTCTGAATTCAATTTAATAACGTTTCATACTCCTTTGATTCAATAAAGTGATTTGTCAGCATTTTATTGTTTTTTGTTTATTCTAGAAAAATATTTATTTGGAATAAATGAATCACTTATTGTGTTGTAAAACATATTTTATTCTATCGTAGTGTTTACAAAATGAATGAATACTACAATCCATATCTCTAAAGGCCGTTTTTCTTTTTTCATACTATATTCTGAAGCTTTTAACAGAGGGTTGTAAAAAGTTATACATATTCACCTGTATTGTCTCTCATTAAGCTTGCATAAAACACCTGGTCAAAAACGGTTAGTAAGTGAAATATAAAATACTTGAATTACATAATAACATTAGTCTTCAAGGATTTATTTATTGAACAAAGTGTGTGAGGTGTTTCCTGCAGAAGGAGGAGGAAGAGGAGGAGGAGGAAGAGGAGGAAGAGGAGGGGGAGGAAGATGAGCAGGACTGATGTCAGTAGGACTTCTTCCAGGAGCGGAGGTACAGCTGTATGGGGAGGAGGGGGTTTCTCTTCTTCAGACTCGGGTGGAAAACATCAAAATCTGCCCTCCGCACTCTCTGCAGGTAGTCCTCCAACACCACCTGCAGCACACAGCACCACAGAAGAAGACATAGCTTGAGAGTGAATTGGGTTTGCATCAAATGGAGTGGTGCAGGGATGTCATGTTTTAAATCCATTCAGAGGTAAAAGTCTTTCATTCATTTACAAAATACTTCACTTTGGTTTGACTGTTTCTCCGCCAAGTAAAGGGAACCCAACAACACAGTCTGGAGCTTTTTGATCTATCATTTTGCATGAACTCAGAGATGTTGCTTGGTGTTTTGAGACTCACCGTCTGCAGGAAGGCCAGATTTGCGGCTTCTGGGATGTTGTGGCTAAACGATCGCGCCTGGAGGACAAGGAAAAAGCACATAAAGAGAGTTTTATTGTTCGCTGTACACCAAAGCACATTGACTGTCATTTTGTCATCCAAGTTTATGTATTTTCATACCGTGTGAATTGTTATAATTTATTTACATTTCTTACAGACCTAGGACCTGTTTTCATGACGGCCATTACTTCTGAATTAACCTCCTCTCTTGCTCTTTTTTGATTAGCTTAGCACTTTATAATTCGGTCAGGAAGATTAGCGGTGGTGACGTGAAGTCATGTGACCGTGCTGTAGTTCCTTTATAGCCCAACATTAGCCACCTTTAGCTTAGCGGTGGTGACGTGAAGTCATGTGACCGTGCTGTAGTTCCTTTATAGCCCAACATTAGCCACCTTTAGCTTAGCGGTGGTGACGTGAAGTCATGTGACCGTGCTGTAGTTCCTTTATAGCCCAACATTAGCCACCTTTAGCTTAGCGGTGGTGACGTGAAGTCATGTGACCGTGCTGTAGTTCCTTTATAGCCCAACATTAGCCACCTTTAGCTTAGCGTGGTGAAGTGAAGTCATGTGACCGTGCTGTAGTTCCTTTATAGCCCAACATTAGCCTCCTTTAGCTTAGCGGTGGTGACGTGAAGTCATGTGACCGTGCTGTAGTTCCTTTATAGCCCAACATTAGCCTCCTTAGCTTAGCGGTGGTGAAGTGAAGTCATGTGACCGTGCTGTAGTTCCTTTATAGCCCAACATTAGCCACCTTTAGCTTAGCGGTGGTGACGTGAAGTCATGTGACCGTGCTGTAGTTCCTTTATAGTCCAACATTAGCCACCTTTAGCTTAGCGGTGGTGACGTGAAGTCATGTGACCGTACTGTAGTTCCTTTATAGCCCAACATTAGCCTCCTTTAGCTTAGCGGTGGTGACGTGAAGTCATGTGACCGTGCTGTAGTTCCTTTATAGCCCAACATTAGCCACCTTTAGCTTAGCGGTGGTGACTTGAAGTCATGTGACCGTGCTGTAGTTCCTTTATAGCCCAACATTAGCCTCCTTTAGCTTAGCGGTGGTGACGTGAAGTCATGTGACCGTGCTGTAGTTCCTTTATAGCCTAAGATTAGCTTTTTACTTCAGATATCATAAAGTGGTAATATGTGGAGATTATCCCGCTGAACTAAACATGCAAGAATCATAAACGTTTGTTTGAAACAGAGATTATCACCTGAAATAAATCACATGGAGGAATCCCATTAAACCAGGAGATGCTGCCTTCAGGGTCAGACTACACAAATATGGCATCCCTGCTCCACTCTATATCCATGTAAAATATCCCACCGCCTGTTGGTGGTTGAAGATGTGATGTTTTCCATATACAAACACTAACATTTGTGTAGGCGTGTGTAACTGAATTCTTCCTTCTGACTGGGGTTCAGAGTTATTTATCACCTCTACGTTCTCCTGTGAATTCTCCTATGTTTGAAACTGAAAACACAGAGGGTGGTACGTACGTGTTGTAAATGTACGTGAGCCTGACTGGCGATGTCGTACGCGACGTCGCGCATGTTTTGCTCTCGGCTGCCGCGGATAAAGTCCTCCTGAGAAGCTCCGTGCTGCAGAAACACAGATGAAATAAAGTTTACAAGGGTGGTTGCAGGTAAAATAACAAATGGACGAATAGATATGAAGCGGGATGAGGGAGGTCATCTGAATGTTTTAGATTAAAGACAAAGAAGACAAATGCACGAGAAAACAACAATATTTCTGAGTCACAAATGTCCACAAAGTGAAGCGTAAGTCTCTTGACAAAACACCAATGTTTTTTTAATATTCATAAATAAGGTAACAACAGATACAAATCCTTCATCTATGATCTCTTTATAATTTTAGAGATTATTCGTTTTATTCTCCTACATTTTTGACTTTTTTGAATTTGCCATTTAAATGCCAAAGAATATTCACGTTTTTTAGGATGTTGATAAACTTAGCTTAGCGGTGGTGACCGTGCTGTAGTTCCTTTATAGCCCAACATTAGCCTCCTTTAGCTTAGCGGTGGTGACGTGAAGTCTTGTGACCGTGCTGTAGTTCCTTTATAGCCCAACATTAGCCTCCTTTAGCTTAGCGGTGGTGACGTGAAGTCATGTGACCGTGCTGTAGTTCCTTTATAGCCCAACATTAGCCACCTTTAGCTTAGCGGTGGTGACGTGAAGTCATGTGACCGTGCTGTAGTTCCTTATAGCCCAACATTAGCCTCCTTTAGCTTAGCGGTGGTGACGTGAAGTCATGTGACCGTGCTGTAGTTCCTTTATAGCCTAACATTAGTCACCTTTAGCTTAGCGGACGTGAAGTCATGTGACCGTGCTGTAGTTCCTTTATAGCCCAACATTAGCCACCTTTAGCTTAGCGGTGGTGACGTGAAGTCATGTGACCGTGCTGGAGTTCCTTTATAACCCAACATTAGCCGCCTTTAGCTTAGCGGTGGTGACGTGAAGTCATGTGACCGTGCTGTAGTTCCTTTATAGCCCAACATTAGCCACCTTTAGCTTAGCGGTGGTGACGTGAAGTCATGTGACCGTGCTGTAGTTCCTTTATAGCCCAACATTAGCCTCCTTTAGCTTAGCGGTGGTGACGTGAAGTCATGTGACCGTGCTGTAGTTCCTTTATAGCCTAACATTAGTCACCTTTAGCTTAGCGGACGTGAAGTCATGTGACCGTGCTGTAGTTCCTTTATAGCCCAACATTAGCCACCTTTAGCTTAGCGGTGGTGACGTGAAGTCATGTGACCGTGCTGGAGTTCCTTTATAACCCAACATTAGCCGCCTTTAGCTTAGCGGTGGTGACGTGAAGTCATGTGACCGTGCTGTACAGTGTACTCTAACAGTGTTTGGCATCACGTCGACTCACCAGCATGCAGATGTCCATGGGGAGGTAGACTTTCCTCCGGCCGCTGTGATAAGGAGTCGCTCTCAAACACGTCACGATTCCCTGAGCTTTCCCGATGTGACTTGCTGCGTGGTCTGCATGGACGTTTGTCACCCCTGGAAAACAAACAAACAGGTGTGTCTCCCTTTCTCTTCATAACCATAAAAGAGCATCACTCAATGGAGGGGTGCAGGAATGAGTCGTAAAACCTGGAAATTAGAATGTCATCACTTCCTGTCCAGGTTTTCTGAATGTGTTATTGAAATAAGGTCTGAGGTCAACACAAGCTGAAGGGATTTGTATTCAGTAAATACCCCACTGGTGAATTTAAAAACAGCGTTTGCTAACAAGTGTAGAAATGGAAAATCCCATTGGATTGAGGGAAGCAGGGAGATGCTTCCTTCTGTGTGATCATACACACATCTGTCACCCCTGCACCTCTCTATCGTCCCTTACAGTAAAGATGGCAGCAAAGAAGACACAAAAACAGGTATTTATTCATCTTGCATTGTGTATAACATTAGAGGATAATAACAAATCAGGTATGGAAGTAATCTGCAGATGCTCCGGTTCAAAACGAGACCAAGCTTTTCTCTGGATGTCAGTTTTTGAGTCACGATAAAATGTACTAAATAGTATGGCAGCATGTGTTCCACAATGCATCAGCTGTCCTTACCTAAGCACTCCAGCAGCAGGTATATTAAAGAGGACTGCGTGTTCTCTGAGTATTTCTCCAGCTCCTGCAGGGTCCTGTAGGCTCGGTCATCCAGGTCCTTCTCCTGCTCAAACACAGTTTAAATCGTTGTCAAACACTAAAGGGTGACTGGTTCTTAAGTTATTGATATGACACAAGGTCAAGGGACACATACATCCGATTACCATCAGATACAAACTAAAAATCGCAAATATAATTATACATTTTAATAATCCTACAAACTAGACTATATGATGTTTCTTTTTAGGACTACCAATGTGTTCCTCTTACTACACTATGTTCTATGCACCATTTAAACCAACGCAAATTCCTTGTATGTGTTGGCAATAAACCTGATCCTGATTTTCATTAAAAGGTCCCATGTCATGCTTTTCTGGTTATCACCCGTCCCCTTGTGTTATGAAGGTTTTTCTGCATGTGAACGGTCTGCAGAGCCTCAAACCCTCAAAGTACACCCTGTAGCGAGTAAAACTCTAACACAGAGAAGACCTGTCTGTGCTGCCCCAGAACGCCTCGTTGGACATTTCTCTTTTTCCATTGTTTTCTTCCTGGGTCGTAGTGACGTAACTTAACGGCTCCGCAGATTGGTCCAATCCGTGGAGCCGTTACGTTTGGACCAATCTGCGGACTTCCTCACACACACACACACACACACACACGCACACACACACTCGGCGGGACGTTGCGAGGCTCGCTGCTGCGAGGAGCGGGACACTGTGAGCTGGCTCAC